TGGGAAAGCAAGGCTATGTGAAATTCAATGGAAATGTCAGCTCTACTCATATCATTGTGGGAAAATTCTATTACCAGTCCTTCCTCACCCTAAACGAACTTAGGTGAATACATCTCATATTACTAATTTAGTGGTAGTCTCGAAACTCTACTTAAATACGAAAAATAAGTATAAGTAACCCTTAAATAAATATAATAAAGGATTGAAATAAGTTTTTCCACATAAAAGAGTAATATTTATGGAATAGACGGAAAAATTTAATCACCTAATTTGTGCCGCATAATGATCTCAGCACGATCAATCTCCCAATTTTCGAGGCTGAAACCCCCAGGAATTTCCTCGCCTGGAATAATTCCATTTCCAATGCTAGTATCTCCATTGCCAAACCCGATTCCATTGACTGATTCGAGCATACCCATGCCCGTATCGCCAGTGAGAAAGTTTTCATTTGGTCTATTAGAACGAGCATTGAACACACAGGAAACAGTAGTCAAATCTCGCTTGGCAGCTGGATAAAGCAAAGGACAAACGAGGCCATCAGCGGACTGAGAATGATGACCAATAAGCTGAGCGACTGTAGAGAAACGATGGGCTTCAGTAATATAAAACTAATTGAAATAGAAAAAAGTATGGGGAAAGAAAGGAGAATAAAAGCATAAAAATTGAATGTATTTATCGAATAAGTGAATAAAAAAAATATAAATTGAAATAAGCTCTGATTGGAATGAAATCTATTCAATAAAAAGCTATATAAAGAGATAAAAATAATTTTAGAATCTACTCATCGGTGAATAGTTGCAGTTTGAAAGATGATTCCGAATGGTTGTGCATGAATATCAAGAACAGTAGGTAAATAAATGAATGCTCATGTTAAGTATCCATGCGTAAGTAAGTATGGTTGAAAGAATGAGATGTAAGCTTGTAAATGTGTAAATCAAGTTACGAAACCACCTGTCCTAACCTCTCAATCTTGTAGCCATTAACGTTTAACCACGAAAGGAAAGGCATGACTGGGACTGCGTAGTCTGGTTTGGTTGATGAACTTAATATAACGTGTTAGACGTGCGTGAGTGAAGTTAGAGCCGTCACTGAGCGGACCCTGGATTAAGATGTTAGGACAGGTGGTTTCGTGAGATGACTTACATGCTTACAAGCTTACATCTTATTATCTCAACCATATTTGCT